GATGTTCAGATTGGATGTTCAGATTGGATGTTCAGATTGATGTTCAGATTGGATGAGATTTGTTCAGATTGGATGTCAGATTGATTCAATGGATGTTTCATGTTCAGATTGGATGTTCAGATTGATGTTCAGATTGGATGTTCAGAGATGTTCAGATGATGTTCAGATTGGATGTTCAGATGGATGGATGTTTGATTCAGGGATGTTCATTCAGATTGTTCAGATTTGTTCATGTTCAGATGGATGTTCATTGGATGTTCAGATTGGATGTTCAGATTGGATGTTCAGATTGGATGTTCAGATTGGAGATTGATGTTCAGATGGATGTTCAGATTGATGTTCAGATTGGATGTTCAGATTGGATGTTCAGATTGGATGTTCAGATTGGATGATTGGATGTTCAGATTGGATGTTCAGATTGATGTTTCAGATTGATCAATGGATGTTCAGATTGGATGTTCAGATTGGATGTTCAGATTGGATGTTTCAGATTGGATGTTCAGATGGATGTTCAGAGATGTTCAGATTGGATGTTCAGATTGGATGTTCAGATTGGATGTTCAGATTGGATGTTCAGTTTCAGATTGGATGTTCATTTTCAGATTGGATGTTCAGATTGATGTTCAGATTGGATGTCAGATTGGATGATTGGATGTTTCAGATTGGGCAGATTGTTCAGATTGGATGTTCAGATTGATGTTCAGATTGATGTTCAGATTGGATGTTCAGATTGGATGTTCAGATTGATGTTCAGATTGGATGTTCAGATTGGATGTTCAGATTGGATGTTTGGATGTTCAGATTGGATGTTCAGATTGATGTTCAGATTGGATGTTCAGACAGATTGATTCAGATTGATTCAGATTGGATGGATGTTCAGATGGATGTCTTGATTCAGATTGGATGTTCAGATTGGATGTTCAGATTGGATGTTCAGAGAATGTTCAGATTGGATGTTCAGATTGGATGTTCAGATTGGATGTTCAGATTGGATGTTCAGATTGATTGGATGTTCAGATTGATTCAGATCGATGTTCAGATTGGATGTTCAGAGATTCAGATTGGATGTTCAGATTGATGTTCAGATGGATGTTCAGATTGGATGTTCAGATTTGTTCAGATTGGATGTTCAGATTGGATGTTCAGATTGGATGTTCAGATTGGATGTTCAGATTGATGTTCAGATTGGATGTTCAGATTGGATGTTCAGATTGGATGTTCAGATTGGATGTTCAGATGGATGTTCAGATTGGATGTTCAGATTGGATGTTCAGATTGCATGTTCAGATTGGATGTTCAGGATGTTCAGAATGTTCGATTGTTCAGATTGGATTCAGATTGATGTTCAATTGGATGTTCAGATTGGATGTCAGAGATGTTCAGATGGATGTTCAGATTGGATGTTCAGATTGATGTTCAGATTGGATGTTCAGATTGGATGTTCAGATTGGATGTTCAGATTGGATGCTTGGATGTTCAGATTGGATGTTCAGATTGATGAGATTGGATGTTCAGATTGGATGTTCAGATTGGATGATTCATGTGGATGTTCAGATTGATGTTCAGATTGGATGTTCAGATTGATGTCAGATTGGATGTCAGATTGTTCAGATTGGATGTTCAGATTGGATGTTTCAGATTGGATGTTCAGATTGGATGTTCAGATTGATGTTCAGATTGGATGTTCAGATTGGATGTCAGATTGGATGTTCAGATTGGATGTTCAGATTGATGTTCAGATTGGATGTTCAGATTGGATGTTCAGATTGGGATGGATGTTCGTTCAGAATTGGATGTTCAGATTGGATGTTCAGATTGGATGTTCAGATTGGATGTTCAGATTGGATGTTCAGATTGGATGTTCAGATTGGATGTTCAGATTGGGATGTTCAGATTTGTTCAGATGTTCATTGGATGTTCAGATTGATGTTCAGATTGGATGTTCATGCAGATTGGATGTTCAGATTGGATGATCAGATTGGATGTTCAGATTGGATGTTCAGATTGGATGATCAGATTGGATGTTCAGATTGGATGTTCAGATTGGATGTTCAGATTGGATGTTCAGATTGGATGTTCAGATGGATGGATGTTCAGATTGGATGTTCAGATTGGATGTTCAGATTGGATGTTCAGATTTGGATGTTCAGATTGGATGTTCAGATTGGATTGGATGTTCAGATTTGTTCAGATTGGTTCATTGGATGTTCAGATTGGATGTTCAGATTGGATGTTCAGATTGGATGTTTCAGATTGGATGTTCAGAGTGGATGTTCAGATTGGGCGATGTTCAGATTGGATGTTCAGATTGGATGTTCAGGATTGGATGTTCAGATTGGATGTTCAGATTGGCATGTTCAGAATTGGATGTTCAGATTGGATGTTCAGATTGGATGTTCAGATTGGATGTTCAGATTGGATGTTCAGATTGTTTCAGATTGGATGTTCAGATTGGATGTTCAATTGGATGTTCCAGATGGATTCAGATTGGATTTTCAGATTGATGTTCAGATTGATGTTCAGATTGGATGTTCAGATTGGATGTTCAGATTGGATGTTCAGATTGGTATGTTCAGATTGGATGTTCAGATTGGGTGTTCAGAATGTGTTCAGATTGGATGCTTTCAGAGATGTTTCAAGATTGGATGTTCAGATTTGGATTGGATGTTCAGCTTGGATGTTTCAGATTGGATGTTCAGATTGGGATGTTCAGATTGGATGTTCAGATTGGATGGATGTTCAGATTGGATGTTCAGATGTTCAGATTGGATGTTTCAGATTTGGCATGTTCAGATTGGATGTGTTCAGATTGGATGTCAAATTGGATGTTCAGATTGGATGTTCAGATTGGATGTTCAGATTGGATGTTTTCAGCTTTGGATGTTCAGCTTGGATGTTCAGATTGGATGTTTCAGATTTGGCATGTCCAGATTGGCATGTTCACAGATTGGCTAT